AACATAACTGAGTTATCACTGAAACTTTTGAAAACTTTGAAAATATCTGTTTAGATGACAACTTGTACTCAAATGTAAGAAAACAGAGATAATATTGTTCACTAGGAGGTTAACTAAAATGGCCTAATGAACTAAAACAGAGAAAATACAGCCAGTAAGAACCCCAGCATTTTGGGGAGTGTGTCAAAGTCTTTACTGCTACCAGAATAAACAGTGGTAGGATTACATCAGAAGGACCTTGGACAGACTAGGTGCAGTCTAACCAGGGGAATCAGAAAGTGGAACAAAATGGACCAGATGGCCATGACTGTGCTGAAAATGAGTGGAAAGGTGAGGGGTAACAAGGCCAGAGTGGTAATGAGTCACTTAGCTTACCTTCTTGTGTCAGAAGTAATACCTGCCCCTCTCCTCAGCTGCCAGTGTTCCACAGAGTCCAAACAAACAGCTTCCCAGAGTAGCAGACAGTGGCAGAAATACATTGTCTTTATCACCTCAGCAGCCTTGAGTACATGTGGAGGCAGCAGATGTGGAGCAGGGCTAAGCAGGAGTGGCAGTGAGGCCAAGGTCAAATTTTACTGAGATGGGAGTTTGTGTGGTTTCTGCACTGTGATACACCCAGAGATGAATGGCACCAGGAAAAGACACTCTCCTGCCACGACCAAATTGAATTTGGCCCCCCAATACCACTTATGTTGGGGGTATAATGTTTTGGATTAAAAAAAAATTCCTACAGTAACATCCAGCTTATGAGGAGAAGCCCAAGCAGCACTTCTCACAATGTACACACCAGATGGGTCTTCACTTCTTGCCTCCTGCCTCTAGAATTTCTTTCCAGTAGTCAGTCATGCAAAACAGCAAAGAGGAAAAAAAATAAAGGGGGGAGAGGCCAGAAATAATGCCAGTACTTACATGGTATACTTTTTCCTCCGGACTTTAATTTCCTTCTGCTGATGTATGGAAGTTACAGAACATGCTGTTCTTCAAAGCATGTCAAATACAAATAGTACATGCAGTTGTGTACATTTTTTAATGTAGATTTGACTGTGGCAGTTGTAAAAGTATTCTTCACAAGGTAGGTCTTAGGGCATGTGATTGCCCCTTGAAGGGGAGGGAAGGATGGGATGGCTTCAACAGTAGCCAATGTAGCAGCCGGTATGGGTGCACCTTGGTCTGAAACTGAGTAATACAGAAGCACTGCTCTAAAAAAAACAACCGAAGAAAGCTTGAACTGAGGAACTTCATGTATTCAAAATGTGGAATATTTAGGATAAAATTAAGTAGTAATAAATAAACATTATAGCACTTCACCAGGTATTTACTTGATTTATTATAGGGTTTCCAAGGGAGATCCTGTGGTCTATTAACACCCATTTTAAAAAATCCCTAAATATATTCTAACAAACACAAATAATGAGTCAGATGGAATTGCTATGGTCAATTAAGTGGGTAATGGATATTTAAAAGCTTCCCAACATCAATAAATCTGAAGCAGCTCTAAAGGAGTACTTGTAGAACAAAAATAATACGCACTTAAGAAACTGCCTGAGTACATATTTACCTAAACTGAACCGCCAATAAGAGGACAGCAAGCGTTTATGGTACTGTATACAGAGGGCATAAAAAGGCATACCAAATGTGTGCCAGTTCATCTGTTGATAATCTGTAATAGGTCCAAAGGGTCCATAACTATTATAAAGAGGCCCTGGTTCTCATTTATATGAATGTCTTTAAATATCCTTAGATTATGAACCGGGGAAGTAGACAGCAGCTCAGCAGCATAGCCCTTGGCATGAGGCTGAAGGCAGTCCTTTGCAAGATGGTTGAAGCTGCGTCTGCCAAAACTCTCTGAGCTGGTTTCCACAGGCACTAAGGGAGAAATGCCCAGGGGGGAGGTGACAGAAACCCTTTGGACAGCACTGGCGTTTAGGCAGGTTCTCTTTTCACAGGTTGAAAATTCACAAAAGAAAAGTGTGAGGATCTTTTGTCAGCCTCCACGAGATCATAGCGAGTGATACACTTGCACACACAGTAGGACAAAAGTTCTGGTTTTCTCTGGATGCCCCGAGAGGAAAAAGATTTGGCTATGATTTTTAAAACATCTGCACACTGCGTAGAAGTTGTTCTGTCCATGAGCAGAAGAGTCGGAAGAAGTTTTGAAACAGCATCCTGGAAATTATCTGTGTAGTAATAATAACAAAACATTAACTGATATTAGTGAGCTATAGTTTATAAAGCCAGAATAATTTGGTGACAAATCTGGCATAAGTCATTACCTCTACAGCCTCTTTTCTCCTGGCTCAGCTAAAGGTGGTCTTAGTTAGGCCAAGACAGTTGTCTGTATAAACCCAATCCGAGAGATTTGGGCTAAAATCCCCAAATCCTTCCATAGAAAATGAGGTTTATTTTTTACACACCTTATTTAATTGGGTCCATTTTAAAAGCAATCAAATACAGTTATGTTTGCCTAATTACAGTGATGGTAGCATGGGGGGATGGAAGAAAGTGGAAAGGATGATGCCTGGGGCAGAGTGGGCAGTAAAGGGTTGAACTGTGTCATTGCTAATGGAGTGCTTCATGTCATCATTTGAAGTCTGAGTCTGGGTTGAAAGTTGTACTATAGTGCCCCTAACTATTTCATTTGCTATGCTATCAAGTCTTAATGCAATGCTGCAAATTGGCTACAGAGACTCTAAACTAATATCCACAGCTGTTTCGGGGTTGGGCAACATTGAGTTTGATATAGCGTATACATGTCTTTGGGATATAGCACAACTTCTGCAACTTTTCTCCCATTTTGTTTTAGAAGTGTTTTGATAATCTTTCTCAGATTCATTTGTTCATGCATTTTCATGTGGAATTCAGAATGTGATAATACATAATAAAAATATGTTATAAATATGATTACAAGATGACATGGGTGTACAGAGGCTGCTATCTGGTGTGTAAGAGACTGGTTCTTTAAAAAACATGATTCTTATTTACAGTAAAAGCCCTTTCTGACACCAGAAGAGCAAAGAAATTTTACAATGGCATTAAATTGTACTCAGTGTGCTCAGTTTAAGGCTGTCAGAAAGATGCAAAGAGACTGTATTTAACATTATAATTTATTAAAACTTTATGCAAAATAGTTCTTCTGTAAGTGTATAATTAGATTTCTTGCTCGTCTTTGCCCACGTAACTATCTGTGAGTTTTATAGGATAATTTCTGACCTTGTCAGAGCATAGAGTCTGGTTAGCAGGTCTGTGAAGAGAGACCTAGTGGCTCGGGCATATAGAAGTTACAAAAATACTTCCTCAGGCTCAAAATAATTTTTTTTATGTTCCCAAAATTGTTCAAGAACACCCTGCTTTGGTCAATAGTTTACATTATAATCTTACTGAAGTCAGTATTTACATGCAATGACTATCCACTAAGTACCAAATGTTAAAGTCATGTTTTAGTCTCCCAAACCTTGTATTCAGAATTGCATCTCTTTTTTTTCATTTGGGCTGGACTATTAGGCTCTTCTCTGTAGCCTCTCTGTCTTTATAGCTGAAGGTAAATTGGTATAGCGCTCTTTGCCAACCTCGCTGTTGGCAAAAGTGAATATGCTGTAAGTTTCCTAAGTCATGCCAGGTTTTATTTCATGTGAGTAACCCATGAATCATCTTTCCATAGCATTCATATTAATTAAAAATAGTGGGGTGCTTTGTATAAGTAGATTTTAAGTGATGATATTATACATTGGCACTACAGTCGAAGTAGCATTCCTGAGCATGCATTTTCTGGAGGAGATGGGGGAAGGCTGCAGGAGCTACATTAAAACAAGGCTGGAGCAGAAACTTCTTGCACAAGAAAAGTTTCTCTGGGAATGTTTCTGGCCAAGGTTGGGGGTGAAAGTAATTTGATTTTGCTACACAATTGTAATTTTAAAAGAGTATCTTGTAAAATACAGCTCTCCATATTAACATGTATAATCCCTTTTAGTTACATATCAAAGTAAGGTTTGGAGTTCGAATCATCAGTGCAAAGCACAAGCTTCTATGACCTCTGTGTGGAAACAGCATTAGGAGTTTATTTTATGTATAGATCAACATAGAAGGGCAAGAAACTCCCATCTTCTTCATACTTTCCAGACAAATAATAAAGATTCTTCTTAATTTTGCCAGAATCCCTGCACTGCAGTAATCTTCCATCAAACATAATAGGAAGTTGTTAACTCTACAGAATTTTGAAACAGACAAATCTATCTGTATAACAGAATGCTTTTAGAAGGTTAAAAAGCAAAATAGATTTAATTCACTGTTTTTACAAGAATTTCTGCAGAAATCTGTTAAACTGCTGTTGACTGCTGCTGTTTGATCCTTAATAAATACAGCAGGGTTAGAAAAGGTTTTTAATTAAGACTGTACATACCCTTCCCAAGTTCAGACCGCATGATGGTGCAAAAAGATGTTCGGGCATGTGAACTATGCTACTGAAATCAGAATAGAAGAAGAAATTATTAAAATCTTTCTTCTAGTGATTCCATATAAGTAAAGATTTTGTTGGAAGCAACATTCTTGCTGAGTTACATCATTTCATTCATGCTATATAATTTATTTAGGCCACTCTGTGTAATATTACGCGCAACACTATGTGCAAAGGCTTTCCATAAAAAGACCCAAGAGGTCCAACTGAGACCAAAGTGGGGTTGGAAAAAATCAGTGTCTGTACAAAAGTTCACTGCAGAGACTTTTTTTCCTGACTAAGAAAGCATTTTTCTCCATGGAAACATGATACGGAGCTCTACTAGGAGTCTGCTTACTGCTAGGAGCTGTGCTTGTTCCCTGCTAAGGACACCCTAGGGAGCATAGGGAAGAGAATTCTAAAAAATTTGTTTCTTTTATAAAAAGAAACACTGTATGTAAAAACCTTCAGCAACCCTTCTCCTATACACTTTCTGGGCTTCATAAAGGTGCAGAGTACAGAAAAGGCACTGGAATGTCAGCTCATGTTGGCACACTAATGACTTGCTCAGGATATGCTTCCAGTCAATTGGGTTTGGCCATTTTATTGTATGCTTCATGTTGTGGTTGCCAGACTAAAATACTAGGGTTTTAAACAGCTTCTTTAAAAGTCTACAGAGTGTATAGAGTTTACTCAAAGAAATGAAAGAAAAAGATGACCAATTCAAGTTATAAAGTAGGTTCCAAGCATTGCCAAATTTTCATTTTTTCCCTGAATCTAATGGTGGTTCTGTCTGTTCCTGATAGAAGCAAAGCACAAATGCAGGCTGAGCAGAGAATGAGTTGAGAGCAGCCCTGAGGAGAAGGACCTGGGGGTACTGGTGGATGAAAAGCTCAACATGACCTGACAATGTGCGCTCGCAGCCCAGAAATCCAACCACGTCCTGGGTTGCATCAGAAGCATGGCCAGCAGGTTGAGGGAGGTGGTTCTGCCCCTCTGCTCTGCTCTGATGAGACCCTCCCTGGAGTACTGCATCCAGCTCTGGAGGCCTCAACAGAGGAAAGACATGGACCTGTTGGAGCAGGTCCAGAGGAGGGCCAAAAAATGATCAGAGGGCTGGAACGCCTCTCCTGTGAGGACAGGCTGAGGCAGTTGGGTTGTTCAGCCTGGAGAAGAGAAGACTCCGGGGAGACCTCATATCAGGCTTTCAGTACTTAAAAGGGGGCCTATAGAAAAGGTGGAGAGGGACTCTTTATCAGGGATTGTAGTGGTAGGAGAAGGGTAGATTTAGATTAGATATCAGGATGAAATTCTTTACTCTGAGAGTGGTGAGACACTGGAACAGGTTGCCCAGAGAAGCTGTGGATGTTCCATCCCTGGGATTGTTCAAGGCCAGGTTGGATGGGGCTTTGAGCAACCTGGTCCAGTGGGAGGTGTCCCTTGTCCATGGCTGGGGGGGTTGGAACTAGGTGATCTTTATGGTCCCTTCAGACTCTAACCATTCTATGATTCTATGAAGCACAAAATAAGTATTATTGAGGATGTAAAAGATTTGTGCTACCTTTTACAAGCAGATTGTAGTGTTTTAAGAGCTCTTGATCTGCACTGTGTTTTTTCAACTTTGAGTATGTTGAAGGCCTGGTCCCTTGACTGAAAAATGGGGATTTATGTGAGTGTCATTAGTTTTCTTTTGATAAACAACCTCAGATGAATGAAAAAGAGAACTTTACTACAGTTTTGAAGTGCAAAAAGGGGTTGGCAGCAAAGGAGAATGGGACTTAAGGTGAGCTTCGGAGGCCTTCTGCTAGCACTCAATAGCCTCTGCTTTGTGCATCTGTGTTCAGTAGGTAGATAACAAGGTTGCACGATGAGTTGGCTTTCAGTCTTATCGCAGTGCTCAGGCAGGCTGGTCTTCTCCTTTATGTAACAGAACTGGACCAAAGCACAGGATTTTCTTAGTAGCTGCTGGGAAAACATGGCATGCTTTTCCCTTCCTTGCCAAGTCAACAATACTTTCGGAACTGGTCATTTCCGAGGGAGGTGTCGACAGTTGTGTTACAAGTAAAAGAATGTCATTTGGCATTTGTGGAAGAAGAAAAGACTTTTTTTGTAGAAAAAGAATAGGGTCAGAGCACAGGACAGGAATGCTATATACCTTAAAACAGTCTGTATTTAGTGTGGCAAGCAGGATGACGATGTACAGGATTGGATGAGATTAACCTATGCTATTGTAGCTTTGAGTTTTGTTTAATAGTAATTTCAAAACTTACACCTGATCTTAATAAGCAGCATGATGGAAATGATAGGCTTCCAACTGAGGGAAGTTTTTGGCCCAGTATTGTGATTGTGAATGAAAACTCATCTCCCCTGTTGGACTTATATCATACTAAAATAATATTGGTATTGTTACACAGCATGAGGTTGATTGACCTTTAGGCTAGGGGAAGTGTAAGGCTAACAAGTTAAATGCCATTGAAAACAACTATCTAAATCATAAATTGAAAATGACCTGGGTTATGCATCTATGATTTGAGGAAGAAAACTGGAGAAGTGGGATAAGATCCAGGACTAAACATCTGAAAGGGAGAGACTAAATTAGTCAACTTCAGTTGATTAAAGATATTCTGATCCTGTTTTTCTCTGGTGTCTTGACCTTACTAAAGTTCACTTAGTATGTAATGGAAAAAACAACTGGTTTGATAGCAAAATACAGGAAATGCCTTCAATCATGGCTGATTACAGTAGCAGCTTTTCCTCTGTTGTTTTCATTTTTTTAGAACCCTCTTTCTATATGCCTGAAACAATGTAGAATAACAATGCTTTGGAGCCCTTGATTTGCTGTGTCCAAGTAGAGCAATTAAATGTCTGGCTTTTTAATGGATATGCATGCTTGGAGTTTTTGCAGTCAGGAGAGTGCCACATGACATAAGTGAGAAAAATTAAGAGTTATTACAGTGCATAGCTTCAAAGCCTAGCAAATTGCACTCTATGTGTGTGTCAATTCCACCATGAGTAACAAGACAAATGAATGCAGGTCTTTTAAAAATGTGCCTTTGTTTGGCTTTCTCCTACAAAAATGGAAATTTTACAACTAATTTGAATGAAATCTCTTATCTGCAAGTCAGGAAGCAGCTTATACTGAATATACACAATGTCTCAGATTCATCTCACCTAACTTTAGGAATGCAACTGAAGCTTCCAAGTCAGGATCCTGCTTGTCCTGCAGTTCATTCACAGTCAGTGGAGAAGGGTAGGCTTCTTTAGGGACCCAGGCAGCCCACGTGTTCTGTGAATCATCCGCTTAGAGATACCTGTGGACATAGCCATGGAGGGAGCCTGGGGCAAACTGTGGTACCTCAATTACACTGTAATGTCTAGTGGGATGAATCTGGGTCAGAATGCTGGAAAATACAGGAAAGAAAATTACCATAAAACCAGAGCAAAATGTTTTATAGTTCTAGTTACTTTCATATTTAAGGTAAATTTTAAGAATGGATGGAACTGTGGTTGATTACGTTGTATCTTTTTATTCTGTCTTTCCTATTACCTGTATAATGCAGTAATATAACCTTTATGTGGGTTATTAAGAGTTACAAGGCTTTGTTGCTGGAATAGTTGAATGAGAACTGCTACAGAAATGCAAGATGCTACCTGGATAGACATGCATTTGTTGGCTGTATGTTTTTCTATTCTGTGTAAGAAAGCTTCACTCAAAAATAGGAGAAGAAAGAACTTCAGTCTTTTCAGTTAGCCACAGAAACTGTATGCTTGAAACCCAAGTACTCTTTTCTTTGTGTTTGCATAATTTGTGTTTCATTGTTGTTCAAATGATAGTGACTTTGTCATCCTACCTGCTAAGGTCACTGAGAAAAAAAAACCAACACATTACTTTTGGTTTCCAAAGAAAAACTTTTGAACAGATCCAAACTCAATTAGTGTGTCTGCTCATAAATTTGCTTTCTAAGGTTCTGGTAACATTTTTTCAGAATTGAGTCTTCAAAACTTGATCTAACAAGCTTTTCTAGCTTCATGCCATCCTTTCAGTGTCTTTCACCAAGTGGTTTTATCAAATAACGATTTTGTATTGTTTTGTGTAAAAGGATTATAGACGTAAATAGTAGGCACTTTTAGTTTGCGCTCCACCTAACCTATTATTATAATGCACAATCTTGTTTTTATGTTATTTGAGATATAAAAATAAGAGCACAAAGCATTGAATCTCACAGAGTGGAATACCACAGCTTGAGTCAGTCCTTGGCTAAGCCCAGGGACCTCTATTGTCCTCAGTGGCATCACCACGGTGTCAATGAGGACGGGGTTTATCATCTTACGTATTTAGCAATGATTTAACACATGGACTTCATAGCAGAGGCTGAAACAGTAAATATCATTAGTGGTAGTACAGATTTTACCCTGTCATTCCCAGCCTGAATACATAGAGCCACTTAGGAATTTTTCAGATAAAATCTTCAAGAAAAAAAGTTAGAAAGTAGTGGTTTTAACCGAAGTGGAGACAGTGAGAAAGAAAGAAAAAAGAAACCCTGAGAGAACCGTTAGTGGCCTTAAGGTCAGGGCTCTCACGGGAGTGGTGGGGCACCAGGATGAGCAGGCAGCTCAGCCTCAGTTCAGAGCCACACATTGTGCTGAGCATCACACCATCAGCTCTTCACACACTGCTTTCACAAAAAGCTTTGAACAGTCTGTGTTTTCACCCAGCGTGAAACACAAATGGTTTGTAAAATCTCAAGAAGCCTTACAAAGTGAGAAAATCATTTGCTGTCTAGTTTAGCTGCAAATTTCTGAGGCAGATTGTTTGTCTTATACAATAGGCCTAACATGAAGCCAGCTCCATTCATGACAGTTCTTACTTGATACAAAAATTACAGTCCTGTGGGCCATGGGAAGGCAGAGTTGCCACTGGAATCCAACACAAAATGTCTCTAAATTGGGGCTTTGGCAGTAGGCTAAGTCAAGAGACACAGTTGTAGCGCTACGTCCCATTCCTACCTCAGACTCATGGAAACATTGTTGCATTCCCGGGTAGGGGTCATGGAAGGATGAGGTTTTTAAAGCAGTGTGATGTGAATGTAAAAGGCAACCCTCTCCTGAAAAAGAAATAGAGACCACTCCCCTCTGTGCTTAGCCCATTTTTGAGAATGTTTTACATAATACATATTTAAACTTGTACATATTTCACTTGTGTTCACAAATAAAAATGTGGAAATAATCAGAAAGGAAAAGCCACACAAAGGAAAGCTGTTAAGTACCATATATTTATTTGTCTGCACATTATTTTAAGGAAACTCAGCATAATAAGATAAGCCGATCAGGCACTGTAACATCTTAAGCTGCTACCGACAATTGTACTAAAGTTATGGTCAAAGCCATTAAAAAGCCATATAAAGAAATTATTTTATAGAAAATGTTTTTATGTTACCAGAAAAGTCATTGGTTTCCTTAAGCTACTGGAAATGAATATTAAACCTTTGTTCAATACATCATTACAACATCAGTAAATAGTTAGGGCCATGTGATGAACACACGGCCTTCTTTTCCATCCCAGGACCTTGCTGACCTGAAAGT